TTTTTTTTTGGGTCCGGACATTTTTGCACCCCGGGGACCGGTCCGGACTGTCCGGTGTCCGGTGATGTCCGGTGTCCAGTGATGTCCGGACCGGTCCAGACACTGGTCTGGAAGACAGTCCGGAAGTGTCCGGTGTCCGGGTCCGGGGTTACCATGCTCTTTTCCCCACTATTTGCTTTTGCCTGTCGGACCGTGTCGGTTAATTTACCGTGACCTTAGGGGATTCCCATCACTTCTCCAGGCCGTTGATGAAATTTATCGGCGGCCCCTGACCCTTGAAGATCTGTCGCGATAGAGGCAGTGACTGGGACAAGTGCTGGTGGTTTAAGGGTACACACACACACACACACACACACACACACACAGCGCCAAAGAAAAACACACACACAGAACTCAGCCCTGGGCAAGCGGATTCAAGCTCATGACATGTTTGCTGTTCATCCACACAGGCATGCTGTGTACTTGTATTTAAGCAGTGAGTGTCTCTCCTGCCGTAACTCGTATGCATAATTGAGCCGCTGCGCTCCAATCGCCGTCCTCAGCACCCCAAAAACGAGCGCGGGCGGGCAGGCCTCGAAATCGAGGTCAAACAGGCCCTAGGAAGAGGCCAGACCAACAGTTGACAGAAATGTCAACAGTCAACTCGTGGACCCAGGCCCAGATCCGAGAAGTCAACACACAAGATTTCCTGGCCATCGATCTGGAATGATCTAACGGTGGTCCGCAGGTTCCGGAAGATTCAGGCCTCAAGGAGTCCAGACCGAAACTGGGATAAATTGCATCCGAGTCGTCAACATTCGGACAATCCGCGCCCTCACATGGACAGAAGCTGACCCTGGACAGCGCGAGTCAACACTATATAGAGTTGACCTCGCCACTGCCTGGACATGGGGTCTTGCGAGTTGTTTGCGGCTTCGATGCTGCACATGAGACTTGAGAAGAGGACGCTGGCGCCAGTCTGCTTTGTGGGCGTCAGCCAGATGTTGCAGCATAAGGGAAGAGCGAGGAGAAAGCAGCTATCGCTGCTAACATAGAAGGCGACGAGGTAGTGAGCAGGGAGAGAGAGAGAGAGAGAGAGAGAGAGAGAGAGAGAGAGAGAGAGAGAGAGAGAGAGAGAGANAGAGAGAGAGAGAGAGAGAGAGAGAGAGAGAGAGAGAGAGAGAGAGAGAGAGAGTGGGCGAGGTGTGATGTCGTGTGCGCATACCTGATCTCACCTGATGTGATGCCGCTGCTGATTCTGCGCGCTGCTGAAGAATCACTCATTTGCGAGGGGCTGTGTTCACATCATCCACGTGTCAGACTGCATACAGATTGCTGGCGTGGCAGAGGTGGGGAAGCCCGAGGAACAAGAGGGACTTGATTGCTACGATATTCGTCTCCTTCCATCCGTCTATTCTTCCCCCTTTCTCTTCTATTCAGGATACTCTTGACTTGGAGACTTTACACGTGGTAATGAAGGGTCATGTACTTCAGTGACTTCGAATTTGATGGACTAGTTGGAATGCTATCTCACGACATTGCTCTCTCACAAAAATGTTATTTGGCGACATGCTTGATTGACAGGACTGGGTTCATTACACTCCTCTCAGGTGCAACTCCAATAGGCTGTCCGAAATTAAGAAAGAACACCTGCCAGTTATATGCCGGGATCTACAGACTGAGAGAAACGACAAAAGAACAGAACTCGAGCCGAAAAATATAATCTAAAAGAAACAAAGAAAACAAGGGAAGAAAGAAAAAGGGCAACATTCGACTAACCTCTTCACCCGAATAGAACGCCCGGTCGTTATCGCTGCATCTAGACAGAAAACTGCCCCAGATACGGCAATAACGATGGAGCATTCTATTCGGGTGAAGACGGTAGCCCAAGAAAAAAACGCACCGCTCACATCACACTGCCCTGACACAACTGGGAAATGGGTGTCCCAGGACAGCATTGCAAGAGACCCGCCTTTCACTTTAATAAGATAGAGATAGAGATAGAGACAAGCTTATAGTAACCTTACGCATGGTCATTATGGCTGTATTAGGGTCAAGTTTCAGTCCAGATACCATACGTTCTATTCGGGGGACGATGGTAGGGTGAGCAACATGCTCAAGCAATATGAATCACCCTAACTGACTTCAGCTGAACTCCACACTAGGACTTTCCTGGATGCATTTGGCCACTTTTCAGACCCAGCCTGGATGCTCCTGACCACAATTACGTCCACAGAGAAGTGGCAAAAGTCCTAGTGTGAGTATGTACTGAGCAACCCACGGCCTTTCCTAATTAACCGAAGGGAAACGTGCGCTAATACCGTCTTCCCTTGAACACAACACACCCTCCTCATAACCGTATCGGACTGGAAAGATGGCTTGTATACATTCATGATGAGGGTGTGTTGTGTTTCAGGAGAAGACGGCAGGGAAAAAATTGATCGTACCTTGGAACCCCTGACAATGTCAATAGCAATGTTCAGTCCGAAGTAACCTTTAGTTTCATTCACAGCACTCAGTAATTTATTGGCATCCTCCGACAGATCTCTGTCCACGTTACTAGACCCTCGGCAGCAATTGTCGCATTTACCTGCAAAATACCAGAACACAGAATTGGGAAAAAAAAAGAAAAAGAACAGACAGCGAAAGAGACAGTGGCAGCAACGGAGAAACAAAGGAAATCATTATCGACAAAAACAAGAAGTTTGAACGCCCGGTCGGTTAGCGGATAATTTAGTCATGCCAAAGCTGATGGAATTCTAAAAAATACAATACAATACAATACAATATAATAATAATAATAATAATAATAATAATAAAAGAAGCTGACGAATTGACCCGAGGACAGCACACACACACTTACTACCATCTTCACCCAAGCTTCCAGTCTAGACACCGCATAACACCCTTCCTCCACCAACGTATGCATCCAGGGCCCTTCCTCCTACTTGGCGCTCAACGCCCAGACTACGATCACACAGCTACTTAACCAGCCTACGAATTGACGATGCAACCAGTTGACGTCAGCAGCAGTCACTGAAGTACATGCAGATGTTGATCATCCAGACCTCCGCCAGGACCAGGTACGTGCCCTCACATCACACCCCTCCTCTCTCTCCCTCGCTCACCCTCGTCTTCTTCACCCATGCCTCCACCACACACGAAGACCACCACCACCTCCGCTGACTATATCCAAACCAAGCCCGGCTATGGAGGGCTTGGCTACGGCGCTGCCTTGGAGAAGCGCCCTGCCTCTCCCGACCTCGCTCACGACCTTGCACCTCCCAGCGCTAGCAGCAGGCACGAGCGCACGCCCCAGCAGCACTGCCGCTTGCACTACCGAGTGCACCAATGCCTCCCCAGGAGGCAGGCACTCTCCTTTATGGAAAGTGCAGGCAGCTTCTGCCTGCCTGTGCCTGCTCATGGGAGTTTTCAGTAGCTTCCAGTCGGGCCGAAGGTGTCTGCGCCCAGGCCCAGTTCAAATACTGGCCTGGGACCGGAGCAGTTAAGCACACCCAAGTATGCCTCCAGTCTCCAGTGTTTGCTGCATTCTGATTGGCTCGTGGCCAGTGTGCAACAACATAGCTGCATTTTCATTGGTCCCCGGCAGCTGCGTGATGTGTCGGCCTCCGGGCTCTTGCTGCACATGCCCAGGGCCCTGACCAATCGTGCCCTGGGCCCCATTCGGTTAGAGGGCTCAACTGCCCAACGAGGCTGCTGCTGTTTGCTTCAATCTGAATGGCCGATAGGCCTCCTTCCACGTTGCTGTCTGAAAGAGCCTAGAAGGCTCACAGTCTTGGTCACACATGTGGTGCCTTGTAACCAACTGGAGCATGGTAACTGTCCGGAGCCCACAAAAGCTTTGCCAAAATTGACGAACTCAGGCCATTTTGTAAATCGGGGGGTCCCGGCTTCACTTAGGGCGGGGTCATGTTTGCTGAAAAACCCCACAAGGGCATGCCAAGGAGCTAAACACACAACAAGGCCTCGTCAAAGATTCATGCCACGTAGAGATTCCAACAGGCTCTGCATGGGCCCTTCAGCCCAGTCACATAGGCCTATAGTCAGGCATCGGCAGATATTTGCAGGCCCACCTTCACTTAGAGCGGGCACGGCCCTTTCCAACACCGCCGAGGTACTAAATCCTCACACATCCCTCTCTTTTGTCTGCCGGCTGCCAGCGCTCTTTTGTTTTCTTGCCGGCCGGTGTTCTTTTCTCTTCGTTTTGGTTTTAAGAGTTTTTCAACTTTTTCTTTGTTTTGTATTTTTTTGGGTTTCCTTTTGAGAAATTTTGATCCATCTCTTTTTTTGTTGTTTTGCGCACTTTTTTTTTTTTAATGGAACTTCTTTCCGTCCCTCCTCCTCTGTGCTCTTCATTATTATCCAATAAAGAAAAAAAAAATACAGAGAACATCTGGAAAGCTCGAGAGCGAATACGAATATGAATACGCTTGAACACTGAACAGGCTAACGAACATCGCAAGCATTCTGAATTTCAGGTTGGTAATTGAGTTTTGGGTCGAATCCAATCTTTTCTAAATTTAATATTTATAGTCAGTTTCTACAGAAGAAATGATTTCTCATAACTACTGCCTGCCTTGTCTACCCTGGCCCATTGAAAGTTCTCATAAACTTCCGTGTTTCTTCTCGGCCTGGACCAAATAAAGACAACAGTCAGTCCCTACCTGGGCAGCAGACCAAGAGTCAATGATTGTTCCAGAGTCAGTGAGATCTGCCACAGCTCAGTCAGATATCCAAAGGCTCAGTAAGATATTGTTTCCAGATGGATCTAGGCCTACTGGGTACCAGCAGCCTTGGTCCAGGATTGCATATCAGCCCCAGGCAGGTCAACACAGTATAAGTCCGCCACAATTCCAGTCGTGACACTACCTGCCCGGTGCATCGAGGCTGGAGTGCTGCTGACGCCCAGTGTGCTAGTGCTGGGCAGAGGCAGAGAGGGAAAGACTGGCACTAGTTTCCATATCTCGATAGGTGAGGATGCTGCTGCACCATAGGTATTGGGGGGGGGG